AAAAAAAAAAAAAGCAAAAAAACAAAAAAAGTTGGAAAACATAAAACCATCAAAACCATGGGAAAACAATTTCATCAAAAAGAAGGAAAAGTGGGCACGTGAAGTGAAAGTTGGAAAAGGAGTTCCATGGAATTGTATTGCTATCAAACACTCATTCAGTTGGAAAATGTATTCTTACTTCCAAGGAAAATGTTACAAATCAAACACAGCCGTTTGACTATATGAACAATGAACACATGAAGTTGTTGCAATTATACGAGATAGCAATAGTCAAAGTCTCAATTGTTTGTTACATCTCACATGAACTCAGGCCATATGAATTGAATGTAACTATACGATATAGAATACATTATAGTCGCAATTACCATTTGTCAAACAACACATCCAAGATCACAATTGTGACATACAATTTACATGTTAGAAGGAGTCACATGTCCCACAACAACTACAGTAATGTTTATTCATAATGTTTAATGTAATGTCCCACAACAGAAATCATAGTAATGTAATGTAATGTAATGTTTGTCCATAAGTCTTGGACTAATCGACAAGATGTCCCACAACAACTACGGTAATGTTTATTCATAATGTTTAATGTAATGTCCTACAACAGAAATCGTAATAATGCAATGTAATGTTTGTCCATAAGTATTGGACTAATCGACAAGATGGAGATGTTCAGATCAGTTGTAAGCTTCATAGAATGGTTCTTTCTAGCACAGGTTTGTTTGCTAACAATGCGACGGACCTTTCCACCCACTTATTTTGCTACTACTACTCGGTATCTTAGTTGATTGTGCCATATTTTTCTTTCATCATTTAGTGCCAGTGACATGACTTAATAAAATTACGGCATTTCCCTTCAAGTAAAAATATATTAAACTTGTAAATTTATGGTTCTAATTTGTAATTCTTCTTAGAATTTATGTTAATATCTTACATTACCTAATTATACTAATGAATTTTGGTAGAACATCGTAAATAATTGTACCTTAGCCTGTTGAATCACATCCCGCAGGATGCTCTAAGGGTGGGGCGGTGGGGGGCCCTCAAGGTTGGAGTTCAACCTTTATTAGACACCACCAAATTACTGATGCATTTGGCAATATGCTCCTAATGACTTTTGGTATTTTGTGAAAAAATTTAATTTGCATTAACATTTTTATGTATGTATTTACCTGCCTATTAATAACATATTTTAATACTATTAATTAAAAAAAAATGTATGTTTGCCAAACAAGAAAGTTAAGGCTAATTACATTTTCGCTTGTATGATGTATCATCCCACAACATCTATACTTAAATGTAAAATGCAGTAATGAAAATAAGTCGACCAAGTTAAGCTATTCAATAGTCGGGAGTAAACATATATAAGGTCCATACTTTGCTCGACTTCCATGGTCAAGCAGGATGAGAAGACAACGGAGGTGCTAGGGCGTTGTGACCTACAAGTATAAAGATGACGACGGGCTCTTAATTACTCGAGTTGGATGCATTTAAGGTTGGATGTCTGGAGCCTAATATATTGTACATTGTCATAAAGGTCCTTTGAAAAATTAGCAGATGCATTAGGTCGTCATAGTATTTTTCTCTTGTATAAAGAGTATTAGGGCGAGCTTCAAAACTATGTATTATAAGTAGAAAGAAAATAGAGAGACGTGAAACCAACACACATTCTATCTCTCTTCTTCCATATAGTGCAATTCAACAGCGGCACTTCGTGCAATGACTTTCATATTGAGGATGAAGCACTTTAAATCGCATGTTATTCTTGCTTTTATTTTCTTTATTTCACGTTATTAGTTATTCTTGAATTCTTGACAATAAAGATTATTCATTTAATCCATAATATTTAATGCCATGAATCGAATCATTTAATGCAAAGGCAAAAAATTGTGCAGTGCAAACTTAAAAATATACTTTGTTAGAGAGCAAGTACTTCCCAACTCAAATTCTAAATACAACTTAAACAAACGTTTGAGAAATAAGAGATTTTCAAGAAACTTTCTATTTATAAAAAAGTATTTTATGGATTTTATGGATAATAGAGTTTCTTCGAACCTATTTTTTAAGCATCGACTTTCTCGGAGATGCTCTAAGAAGCTTAACAGTAACTTCTAACCTAAGAGCTTCAGCAAAGAAAGTAAAGGCAAAGGTCAAGATTCTGAAGTATTCTCTCCTTTGATGTGGCATATATTTTCTCTTTTGATGTAGTAAAAATTAAAGCATACTACACAATACACACAACTAAGTAATTAGGCTTGTTCCATTGATTTAAGCAGTGAAAAAGCGACTACACAAATTACTTCAAATCATTCTGAACTAAGTAAACCAAGTTCAAAACACGCAGAACTTTTCAAAATTGCTCGAGCCTCGACATAGAATATATTAATCCGCTAACATATGGCAAGGATTCCATAATTCAATATATCGTACAAAGAGAAACCACATTTACAACATAAAAATAGACTACGAAGAACGAGAAGCAGAGAGTTTAAGACATTCACTTTGACATCTACGAAGGCAGACATCATTCCAGTTGGGGACTTGATGTTGATTGACACAGACCGTACGAGCACAGGCATCAGAACAAGCATCAAGTTCAGAAACACCACAAACTGTAACACAAGTATCCGGTATTGGATCCTTAGAGAATGAGCCGACCTTCTTCAACATTCTCTTCGACGTGCAAACTCTCTCACAAACAAATATATCATCGGCACTCTTTTCCCTGCCCCGAGCACTTTTGATTCTTTGCTCCTCCGTGCGCTTCCTCTTCAGTCGGAAAGCTTGACCGGCAATAACAGCAGGAATAGCGGCCCCGAGCAGGGACCACCATACCTCAACCATTATTGCTACAGTTACAAAGAATTTATTCTTCTCCCAATGTACTGTTAATTAAAAAGAAACTAAAGCTATGAGCAGCTCAGAATGCTAAGAAAATGTGAAGCTAACATAACATTATGTAGATTTGCATGGCTAATTTTCATCTCCACATATTTCAATAGACCATACTGCTTTAACATACAAACAGGATTGTGTCATGAACAAAAGCACAATAGCGGATTTACAAAAACAAAAAATTAACATATGAACTAATCAAATAGCAATCTCATATTATAACATCCAATTGCATAAACAAATAACGAAATTCCGATCCATTGCTCTTGGGAGGCATAACACAAAAGGAAGACCTCTGTTCATTTTTCCCCTTTTTACATATACTTCTACATTTCTACCATCACCAATCAGCTCCGGCTCCAGTAGCTCCAATTCTAATCTTGATTGCATAATCTTAAAAATGCAGCCATTAAAAGATAATGATCCAGCGAAACTTAATGCATCGACCAAATTTTAGAACCACGATAAATCCATTACACAAAATAGAAGAAAAAGAACACTCACTTGAAATTGCACAAAACAAAAATGAAATTGAACGATTTGGAATTTAGAGTAGGGGGAATCGATTATCCAAAGCCAACAACTAGATTTAGGGATTTAGATTTAGGGCTAACCAGCAAAGCATAAATCAGCATGCAGACAACTAAGAGGCCGGAGTGGAAGTAGAACCACAGAATGGTGTGGACCTAAATTGAAGAGGCCCACAACAATATGTAAACGGATACTTACACGAGTTATGCTAGATGTACACAATGAGTTACACGATGGATTACACCCCCCTCACATGGAGGGGGCCCATACACAATAAAATATTCGTGTGCCCCCCTCCATGTGAGAGGGGGGGGGGTGTAATCCATTATGTATATCACCGGGTGTACATCTAGCATAATTCTACTTACACATATAGACGAAAAAACAAATTATTTCAACATATATTAATATTATCGAACCTTTTTATTACAAAAATACTGATTACACTTTTCTTTACACCTATTGTAACACTTGTACCAAACTATATTACGCTCAACCGACGCCATTACACAAAGTATAACACAATAAGATGCAATGTTACGTTGATGCCATAGATGTCATCACCATGACCACTTTCCCAAACCACCATATATGCACCACCTACCACCATCGAGCAACGACCACCATCGGCAGCCACCTTCACCCCTACCAACACCAAAATCACATCCTTCGTCATCACCCAACACCAACATATTGGCCCATCCCAAACTACACTACCATCCATCACCGTTGTTACCAACCACACCACGTACATCTATCTCCGCTTCCAAACTACTCACACCCAACCTAAATCCTCCACCTAACCACCACTGCCACCATCGTGAACAACCAACACCATTTACCTTTTTGAAAGCTGATTTTTGCAAGATCATAACATCACATAACTTGAAGTCAATTTACTTTTTGCAATGAAAACAAATTTAATCATTAACCATTTTAAATTTATTTTCACTATACTCTTGACCGTGTGTTATGACAAATTTTAGGGTTAATCTAATATTGTTCACTTATGTTCTGATCAATTGAAGTCCATTAATTCATCTACGGGTGGAATCTAAACTAAATAGAATAAAATAATAATTTATCATGAATATTAAGGCTCAAATGACCTTGCAAGTAATACAGATACATTTATATGACCGATCCTTTCAAAGCAAATATAAATATTTTACTATAAGTTCCTATTCATTACAAGTTTCTAATAAGTGTATTTTATACACTTCTTTGAGGTTTAAAATAGCGATATTTGATAGTTCTTTTAAGCAAATATAGCCTAATCGATTGTATATTTCGTTTATTAGGTAAAACTCGATGATTGGAAGTGAAAATTGAAAGAAAGAAACGGAAAATGGCGAAAAAGAGCGAAATCCAAAGTTTGAGGACCAAATTGCAAATATTTGATAGCTCATTCGAACCACAAGACGATACTTTGAATATTGCTAAGAGACAACTGAATGGAATTAGCAGTAAAAAATGAATGAAATATAATTAAAATATTAT